ATATATACATACATATATATGTATATATATATATATATATATGTATATATACATACATATATATGTATATATATATATGTATACATATATATGTATATATATATAAAACATGGTTGGATGTGAAGTTAGACTCGTATGTGGAGCATAAACATCCGTCTGAACCAGACTTCATTCATAGAAACAGTCGTTTTAGGATCAGAAGCTTAAACAGGTGAAATAATGAGACATGGATTAGTAGGGAGGAGGAAGAGGAGGGCGAAGATCTGCCTCTTTGTGTCTCTGATGTCCTGCAGCTCCTTTCATATCTTGTATAGTTGAGTAAGTAAATGTACATCACAGAACCTGAAACCGGAAGTAAAAGTACCTTCAACGTGATTCTAAAGAGTACTTTAATGTCTCTAACTGTCTTTGTCTTAAGTTTCAGTTTGTCCTGTCCACATGTCTCCACTCTGCTGCTCTCAGCACCGTCAATAAAGAGACAATCAGATTACAGGGGGGGTCTCAGAGGGTGGGGGGGGGCTCCGTCCAAACCGCCTCCTCTGATTGGTTCTGGCAGCTCTGAGTTCAGAGTCGGGTTCAGACAGTGGAACCAGTGGAACCAGTAAACAAACAGGATGCATCGCTGAATGTTGAAGCTCCAACAGAACACCATCTAAAGTCACCTGCTCGTCTCCTGATGCATGCTGGGATCCTGATGCATGCTGGGAAACCCAGCCGAAGAAGAAAGAAGGTAAATAAAGTTCATTCAGAAAGCTGCTGCTTCATGTTTTCATGTTTCTGAACGCTGAACACTGACTTGTTGTCCTTCTCTGTGAAGTCGGCTTCATGCATGCTGCCTCAGGGCTCCACACACACACACACACACACACACACACACACACACACACACACACACACACACACAATGTTAGAGGAAACCCCCTCTAACATTGAATCCACATCTGTTTCCAGTCAGAGCTGCTCTGAGGTTTTAATCTGGTCCAGACTCCACACACTGTCTCCACCCGCCCGCCTCTGCACCCCCACAGAGGAATCAAACGCCCCTCTGCAGCTCCACATGACGTAATGATCTGATGTATGAAGACTAATGAGTTACTTTAACAGAGAATAAATGTAAACTCACCTCACAGCGTCTGACAACAATAAACAACAAACTGTCCTCAAAGAAAGCATGTTGTTTATTTTTAGTCCTGAGGAAGTTTTAGATCAACGTTTGTTAAAACCAGATGTTTGTCTGGAGTTTGGTCGTCCTCTAGTGGTTCAATGTCTCCAGTATGGACCTACTCTAGTGGTTCAATGTCTCCAGTATGGACCTCCTCTAGTGGTTCAATGTCTCCAGTATGGACCTCCTCTAGTGGTTCAATGTCTCCAGTATCAGAGCCTGCTAGCACAACAGTCTGCTAACAGCAGGGAGAGGCTCCGTCGCTCCAGTTACTTTACATTAAAGAACATAACAGAGCGATGCAGGATGAACAAAGACAGACCGGAGATGCACCGATAGAGTTTGACACATATGCAACGCTGATTACCGTAATATGTGTGGTATTTGTTATAAATGTACGTTGGTACATAGAGGGTCATAGGAAGCTGTACATGGAGGGACTTAGGGCCCAGGGGAATGTAGGTGAAGGAAACAGGAAGAGACTAAGACACGCCACACAAACAGCTGTTCACTGCTCGTCACGATCCTGTAGACCAGTGATTCTCAACTGGTGGTTCGTCGTGGACCCGTTTTCAGTGGGTCGCGGGCCTTTGCTTTATGCAGCGGAGTTATTCACGCTCCTTTCCAGCACTTGTTCAGCAGTGCATGAAAAACACAGACCAATGCGTTGTAAATCAGGTCACGTGATGCAGTTTAGCCAATAAAATAAGGGTATTCTGATACGTTTCCTGACTCCAGTGAGATGTACCCACACCGTGACACGGGGGAGAGACAAGGGAAGACATAACACAGCAGAGCTCTTATAATGTTTGATGTAAAAGTCAAATTATCTGTATGACCACAGTCTTATACTGATGAACACCTCAGATCGGTTCTGAGAATTGCCACAACCAAACTGACACCAAACGTTGATTCACTGACAAAAAAGGGTGACCAACAACGCTGTTCCCACTGAAATTAAATATACGTTTTCTTTACTTTTTAGGTCATGGCTTTCACTTGTAATTTATACTAGTTCACACAAACACTCTCCAGTCATCTGCTACTGGCCCGGCCCGTCTGTCAAATTTTAAAACTCAATGTGGCCCCCAAGCCAAAAAGTTTGCCCACCCTTGCTACAGACCCATGGCCCTGACGTACCACTAGATGAAGACATTGGAGAGACTGTCCCACCTCAGGCCCCTGGGCAGACAGCCTGCAGTTTGTGGACCATGAGAACTTTGGAGTGGACAATGCCATCATCTACCTCCTACACCAGGATGATTCCCACCTGCGGACAAGGCTGCATACCTGCAAACTTGTCGCTTTTTCGGTGAAATTCGCCGTTTTGAATCAAAATATGTCATCCACGTGAATCGTGTAGATCCGTAGATCCCCCCAACAGAGTTTCGGTCCTGTCACCTTTTTCACCTCTTATGAGTTTGCAGGTCTGAGGCTGATACCCACCCTTCTACTTAAGCAGGACCGAGACTCCTCTGACAATACTTTGACTCATGCCCTGCAAACCTGAAGACATTCCATCACCAGTCATCTGTAATTAGCTGCATGCTAACATGCTAAACTAAAATGTCCACATGTAGCTCCAAGCACCACTGAGTCTAAATCAGCTTCACAAAGCTGCTAGCATGGCTGTAGCCCCTCACTGAGTATGTGGTCTGTTGAATATCGTACCCCATCCTACAGCGACACTGAGGGGAGTCCAGTATGAAGGGAGACTTCTGTGCATGTTGACCAGCAGCAGCGTCAGAGTGGCGTATAGGCCGTTCCACATGAAGGTGGCTAACAGAAAGAAGTGCAGCACAGCGACCACCACCGAACGAGCCGCTGTCCGGCTCCACGTGTTCGTCGCGGTCCAGAAGGCTGTTGGTCTGAGTGTCGACCTCCACCGGAGCATCCTGTCTGCCGGAGTTTCCAACTCCAGTGACGAAGGTGATGATGAAGGCCAGCAGGCTGACACAGATACACAGCAGAGCGATTTCAGAGTCCTTGACCTCAACCTCGTCCTTTTTCTTGCAACAGTTTATCTGAAAGCTAGAATAAGTATTCAGATCATTTTCTCAATAGTAGCAATACTACACTATAAAGATACTCCATTACATGTGAAGGTCCTGAATTCAAAATGTTACTTAAAGGTGTCGTCAGCAGTTCAGGACAAAGGAAAGGCCATAATAAAGAAGTAGCAAGCATGAAATATATTCTATAAAGTAAGATGGTTTTACCTCTGTTTAAGTTGGTGAATTATTGTGACAATCAAAGCCAGAAAAGAAAAAGCCAGTCCCACAATAGAGATGACATCCAGGGCTTCTGCATATTCATAGTTCTCCCTGAAAGACTGAAACAGAAACACAGTTTTCACTAAACCTACAGCTTTCTTTATTTAGATTTCAAACTGGTGAACATGTCGGTGCAGCGTTGGTTCACCCAGAGAGCAGCAAAGTTGGTAGTGTGGTTGCAGGAACATCTGAGGAGTCCGTCTGAAGCGTTTCCTTTCGAGCAGCCGTCGGTGCTCCAGTCCTGCAGACCGTAGTCCCAGAAAACACAAGCGAAGTTGAACAGAGACGTTCCATTCATCATCTGGAACAGCAGCAGATACGTCTGTGACTTATTGATTCCTTTGAACAGTTTTACCTTCAATTTAAATCAAACAGTACAAAGGCGTAGCATTACTCGGATAGTAAGATGTCCCTGCATACGAAATCTAAATCAACATTTGAATGTCTGATTATTTAGTTTAAAGCTGCATTGCTGCACATTGTCGGATAAAGATCAGGCTACACAAACTGTTAGTATTCTACTATTTGTAGAGTTAGAACTCAGTGATGGCTGCATTGGATTGTTGATTTGATCCAAGCTGAAATCCCATCCGATGACTTCAGAATCTGACCCAGCAGATTAACGAGGTTTATCTTTGCCAATAAAACAATTCCACTGAAACAAGCTGTGACTCCTCACGCACAGGCTGTCCATTATCAGTCTGTATTATCTCAGTCAGGTGTTTGATAAACGACAACAGCAGATAACGGCTAATTCAGGACACCTTTAGTGGTTATGTAATAAACTAGACTCGTGTCATTCAGGCCAATAATAAAATGACAGAAGCAGTTTTCTTACTGTTGGTCTGAACAGCATCTCCACATGTTGCGGCATCACGCTGCTCCTCGGACCATTAACGGAGGCCGACAGGACTCTGAACGTGGCCCAACTCCGACTGTAACGCCGGGACCTGAAGAAACGGTCGTTCTGGTAGAGAATGAACCCCAACGAGACCTCCGACGACTTCTCACTGACTTCTTCTTCATAATCACAGAAACACATTTACAGTCTCACGAGTACAACTGTTGTAGAAAATTGTGGTGGAAGAAATTAGCATTTTGGTTTCAGGAAACATCTGAAATTTTTGTATTCAGGTGAAACTACAGAAAGATTTTTGCTAAAATAACTTTTGCAGTAAAACGTGTGGTAGTTTTCACTGTTGTGCCTAAAAATAGTCGCAACATTTCATTTCAGCATTACCGCATTTTAAAATGAGACAACTCACCTGGTGGGAATCGAACGTAAATCATGGCGTCGGCTATGAACCCGTTTTCCACCACAACCGTTGGTGTGTTGGTGTTCAGCTGAATGCGGTCAGCAACAAAACTGCCTGATGTCCCTGAACGCAACACGAAACAGAATTGTTAGTGATGTCATGAAAACATTATGAACATGAGAGGAAATGCTCCGTTAGCTATGAGGCTAAAAGTCACAAATGTTTGAACGTGTTTGACTTTTGAGGATAAACTTTTGATTTAAATGTTTCTTATTTTTGTCTCTTTCAGGCTCCTGTAGTCCTTCGACATCAATACTGAGATTTTTTATTATTTACAGTCGATGGACACAAACCAAATGATTTAAATCAAACTCAAGCCAGAGTTATGGATTACTTTGATACTGAAGTAAACGTGACGATTCTTCTTTTTTTCTATGATCTCTGTGCATTAATGGATGTTTAATGGACGTTACAGACAATCAATCAATCAAAATGTATTTGTATAGCACTTTTTAAAATACAACAAAGGTTGCCCAAAGTGCTGCACATACAGTAGATAAGCAGTCATACAAACAAAGACTGGATTAATAACAGTGACATTAAAATCAAGACTAACTGACACAAATCACACAAAAGTGCCATGTTCAGATCATAGGTCATAGCCAGGGAATATAAATAGGCTGTTAAACATTGGTAAGGTGGATGACAACCTAACATGAAGGGGAAGGTTGTTCCAGAGCGTAGGGGCAGCAACAGAGAAGGACCGGGCGGCCCGGGTTGTCATTTTTGTTTTTGGAACAACTAAAAGCTGTTGGTGGAGAGATCTTAGTGAGCGAGGTGGTATAGGGCTGCAGCAGGTCAGACAGATAGACTGGGGCGGCGCCATTTAAACACATAAAAACAAATAACAACATTTTAAAATTAATTCTGTACTCTACGGGCAGCCAATGAAGGGATTTTAAGATCGGTGAAATGTGTTCACGCCTGCGTGTACCAGTTAAAAGTCTCGCTGCAGAGTTCTGCACCAACTGAAGGCGTGATAGAAGTTTTTTTCCGATTCCAGCAGACAAAGAATTACAGTAGTCCAGCCTGGAGGTGATATAAACATGAATAACTTTCTCCAGGTCTTTCGAGGAGAGAAAGGCTTTGACCTCAGCTAAGAGTCTTAGCTGAAAGAAGCTGACTTTGACCACGGACGCAACAAGGAGATCCAATATCAAAGATGAGTCCAAGATCACACCCAGATATTTATTACATGGAATTTGCAGTGGGTTGCCAAGGGGCCAAGACACAATGAGAGACTGTCCGGTATAGCAGCTGAAAGGCGAGAGGGATTTATTACCATGATCTCCGTTTTACCTTCGTTGAGGCATAGAAAATTTAGCGAGAGTCAGCTTTTGACATCTGCCAGGCAGCACATTAAATCATTTATTGAGGCAGTTCCAGGTTTGAGGGGAAGGTATATTTGAATGTCGTCGGCATAGAGGTGATAATAAATGTTATGTTTCTGGAAAATGGATCCAAGAGACAGCATGTAGATTGAGAACAGCAGTGGGCCCAAAATGGACCCCTGCGGTACCCCACAGATCAGGGGAGCCTGTTGAGAGGAGCAGTTGTCCATGTTGACAGAGAATGATCTGTCGGTCAGGTAGGACTTAAAACATTGTAGAGCAGTACCTCGGATGCCGACGGAGTGCTCAAGTCGGGAGATTAAAATGTCATGGTCCACAGTGTCAAAAGCAGCAGAGAGATCAAGTAAAAGCAAAATGGCGGGATCTCCAGCATCAGCAATGATTAAAAGGTCGTTAATAACTTTTAAAAGGGCAGATTCAGTGGTGTGAGACGTTCTAAATCCAGATTGAAAAACATCCCAGATACCGTTTAAGCTGATAAAAGATTGAAGTTGTTGAAATACAACTTTCTCAAAGACCTTTGACAGAAAAGGCAAGGTGGATATTGGTCTGTAATTTGATGGGTCAGAGGGTTCCAGATTAGGTTTCTTGATGAAAGGAATTACTGTTGCATGTTTGAAATAGACTGGGACTGAACCAGAAAACAGACAGCTGTTTATGATTGACAGTATACATGGTCAAATTTCAACAAAAACCTGCTTAAAGAGACCTGAGGGGATGATGTCAGAGTTGCACATTGTAGTTTTTAGTTGATCAACAATTGTAGTGAAAGCTGTGAGGGAAACAGGCCTAAAATGGTCCAACACAGCAGAAAAAGTGGGAGAGTTACTTGGATCAATGTAGTGGGATGTAACATCAGACCTAAGTTCTGAGATTTTGTCCTGGAAGAACCTAAGAAAGGTGTCGCACTGTGTCGGAGTCATACTTAAACACGTCGGGATCGGGTGGTTGATAACAGAGTTAATGATCTTGAAGGGACTGCAGATGCAAATTAGCTTAAGCTACAATCTGGTACAGTGCATCGAATGGAGACATTTATGTTTAAACTGTACATGGTCCCTTTTAAATAAATAAATAAAATAAATAATAAGAGGATTGTTGGTCTGTGGCAGTGATTTGCAATTAAGTCAGAGAAGTAGCTATTTCTAGCTGACTTAACTGCATCCTGGTAGTTAGTGAGAGAGTTCCTTAAGATTTCAAAGGACACATGGAGCTTGTCTTTCTTCCATTTTGTCTCAGCCCTCCTGCACTTTTGCCTGAGCGCCCGAGTGGCTTCATTGAACCAGGGTTGAGGCTACAGTTTGGGGCAGTATGACCTCAGGGGGGCGACACTGTCAAGAATTGCATGGCAGGTGGAGTTAAATTTTGTTAAAAGATCCTCTGGAGGAAAGTGCAATTGATAATAATATCCTCGGGAAGTTTAAGTTCACAACGAATCAAATGTAATGTTAAAGTTAAATGCTGCAGAAACAACAAACATGAGAAAGAAACAGCACCATAAAATTAATTGTAACACCATAAAACCATAAAGAAGCTTGACTGAAGATTAAATAACAGAACCTTTATGTGGACTGATTCAACTGGATGACCTCAAATCTCCAGGAGCCTCATTTAATAAACTGTGTAGTGAACTCCTTGTTTGTCTGCCAGTGAGCAGTTTATTTGTTCAGGACTTGTTTTATGAAGAGACTTTGAAAAAGCATTTAGACTTTTGATTTATGGATCCATAATTTCATCATGATTTCTTTGAAAGAAAGTTCCACTTGAAGAAAAACTGAACATTAAAAACTTAAGAAGTTCTGTCTGTACTGACTCCAGTTGTAGATGTTAAACATCTCGCTGACCTGAGAGAGAAGTGAACTGGACTCCTTGAGAGTCTGCAGCAGAGACTCGTGCTGATTGGACCACCAGGTTTGGTTGAACCACCTGAGACTGGGACGCCGTGAGACCAAGGCTGAGATTCACAGAGAGTTGGTCCAGGGTCACCGTAAGGCTGCACACAAGATATTCATATTAATATTTAGAAAACATCACCTGAGATACATCCTGGACTTCAGTTTACCCCAGAGTGGCGTTGTTTTCCTCGCTATTGTCCGTCGGGCCGGCGTTCAGCAGCTGGCTGACTGTAGAGATAGCTGCCACCCGGACGCTCTGCAATAAAAACCATTACTCAATGAGAGTCATTGTCAAACTACATCTTCAGAGGGATGTTCAGCTGAAGGTTTCACTGCAGTCGTAGGAGTTCGGTCTCTCATCTCTCGGACCAAAAACTGAGTTTGATAAACCTCAGTGTTGTTGATCGTACCTTTGAGGCGTTCGGAGATAGCAGCAGTGTGTTGGCGATCTGAGCTGCTGCTGTAATGTCTTCAGCCGTCAGCTCTTCAGGTTTGGAGGTCAAAATTTGGGTGCTGCTTGCCAGGTTCTCAAAATCTGCCGGGCTGGTAAACTGAGACTTAAAGACGTTATTATTGCCTCTCCTTACTGAATCTGTCCTTTACCGGGCCTGAACACATCTACCTTTCTACACTAAAAGAGGATATTATGCGATTGTTTTAAACAAACTAACATTCAACCTTTACTTCACGTTTTGCTGTAAAAAGCAGATATCCTCACATTTAGTTGTACGTCACTGAGGGTCTGGTCACACTGGAGGACATGTGGAGGACGCTGGAAGCTCGGCGCTCCGTTCTTGTTTGAACATCTGGTGGAAGCCTTGGGTTCACCAGCTGGATGAAAAAGTAGGAGTTTAATGTGGTGGACTCAAACTCAGCTGTGTGTTAAGGTTTATCTGATGGATGTAGAGACGTACCGCTTCTCGTTTCTTTGGGACATAACTCTTCAGAATAAGCAAACCAGCCGATGGGTGTGCGAGGGAATTTGAAGTTACCCAACTCTTGGAAGCGGCAGAAATTTTCTATGGGGACAAGTTGAATGGAAGATAAGATTTTGACTAGTTTGTGTTGGACAGGACAGGAACATTAACACAAAGTATGCCATGCTATTAGCCCTAAAAGGTTCAGTAGAACCCAAAATGATGTTGGCTCACTGCTGATTTGAACCCATCATGGAGCTTGATTCCTAAGAGAACCCACTGGTTCACCTTAAGTACTGTATGTAATATTTCTGTGCACACTTTGGCCTAATGGGGGTGCAAAAGGAGGTGGGAACCATCAACAAAACAAACAACTCTGTTATTAAAACTTTTAGTTTCTTGTATTGTTGTTGCTAAACCCAACTCACCTACTGAGCAAGTCTCTCCGGTCCATTCATCAGGACAGATATAGACTCCATTCAGAGAAACCCCACCGTTACCACAAACCAGAGGTGGGGGGGCAGAGATGGGAGAGGTAGTGGTAGTAGTAGGGTTGTCAGTCCCATTGGTCAGATTAGTAGTAGTAGTCCTATATGTCAGATCACTGGTGGTAGTAGTATCGGTAGCTCTCTCGGTAAAGATGGCAGTAGTAGCAGGTGTTGTAACCACAGTGGTGATAGATGATGGTGGTGTTGACTGAGCTCCACGCCAGGTGAACAGCTGAGAGAAGACAAAAGATAATGACTAATGAATGTATAATTAATGAATAGTGAATGACTAAGTAATTCCTATTATGAGATTAAAACCAGAGCTCTGTGAGGGTGAACTTCCTCTATCAAGAGTCTCTGAACCTGAACAAAGCTGCCGTATTTATATGATTCATATGACGGTGAATCATTTCACTGTAAAGAACTCACAGACGGAAACATTCAGAATAAAGGTTTTCTCACCCAAAGTGAAGCCGAGCAGCAACAGAGAGTCCATGTTGATGAAAGGCTGCAGGTCTGACACTTAACGTCTGTTGGAGCTCCGCTCATTTATCTGAGTTTATATCATAAAGATGAAATCATAAAACTAGGAGCTCAAAGTTCATCAGCGTCATAAAGTTTATTGGTTCAAGTTTGTCTATTTATTACTTTCACTTGTTGCTTTATTTCATCTTGTAAATCAGCTGTGAAACTTTGAGCTACAGATACATGTCTGCAAGCTTCTGTATCAATAAAGTTCGTCTGTTTGATTGATGGAAATCACACTAATAGAACATCCTCCGACTAGAAAAACATAAAACATGTTCAGAAAATC